GGGGCCGCGCACAGCGCTGCCGGATCCAGCGGAACCCATCGCCTTGCCCTTGGCTCTGGAAGAGCCGCTATAACCTTGCGTAACCCTGAAAAAAAAAGTTCAGGCGGCATCAGCGGCTCTTGCCTGGGCTGTGGGCTCGTGCGGGGCGCGGTGCGGGCAGCGGCGCCGGGGCTCGCTTAGGGACTGCCCGGCGCTTCTCCTGAGCCGCAGCGGCAAGAAGCGTTTTGTCTCCCTCCACATCTCTGCCATGTTCTGCTCTCTTCCTTCCCTTCTGCTTGAAGCCGTTGCTCTCCGCTCTGCTTCCCAGCAGGTGTTGAGTTATGGCAACGTGATGAAGCGTATTGCTGGTTTCCAGCCTGTCAGCCCGTTCTGCCGGGGGAGATGGTTTTTGTTAGGGAGAAGCGCTGGCTCCCAGCTGTGACTGGAAAGAGCGAACGACAGGCCCCGCGTATTTAGCAGGGACTCATGGAGAAGTTAGGAGCTCCCAGAGCTGAGTGCTCCGTTCCTGTGCTCTGCCAGAGGGTTCTGCTGGGGCAGCCGAGCAGTGCTGGGGCTGCACTGAGCCCTCCACACACCTAACTTGGTAAACTGTCGCAGCTCCTTCATCCCGAGTGGTTTAACCCACATCTCTTTGCTAATGACGTGGATTACAGTTACTATTTAATAATCCTAAGTGACAGTTACTATTCGTTATGTAAACAATCAGAAAGGGATATCTGTGGTTAGACTGCTTGTTTTGTTTTTGTAACAGTGCTTCCTTAACATCAGTGCTTACCTAGAAAAATGTAGAAAGTTGAAGTTGAAACGTTGCTGTGGTTATTACAAACGTGTCTATTTTAATTAATGTAAGTACATTACAAAAAACTAGCTGAACTACAAAACAGTTTGAACATCCAGGTCATACAACTCTTGTTTTTTGCAGAGTCTTAACAGGATTTCAGAGATGTGCACAGCATGAGGACAATGCCCGCTTATTTAAAGTTAGAGAAAGATACATATTTTCCCTGTATTTCTAAATTTCTTACTGTATTTTTGGGAGGGGTGTTTTGGGTTTTTTAGTTTTGTTTAAGGATTTTGTTTTTTGTTTTGTTTTGTGGCCCACTCAGACCTTTGTTAAACCTTTTATTAGTTGACATGAATAGTATGGTTATTGTTAAAATGACTAATGAGATAATAAAAGATTATGTAAACTCCAGAGCTGAAGTGAGAACAGTCCTTGTGTTTAGGTGTGGGTGATGTCAGGTTGAAAGTTTAGTAGATTTCTGCTTTCTATGACTTCTAGAATTTCACTGTCTGGCTCTTCTTTTCAGCTGGAATGTTTTATTCCTATTCCTTGCACAACTGACAGTAGTGGAAGTTGAGAAACATGAGAGGTGGGAAGCTTGTAAGGTATTTTGCTTCAGTGAACCCATAAGAATATAATGCTGCTTCTTTAACTATTTTTGTATTTTACTTCCTGCTTGTCTGTCCTTTCCTTTCATCCTTCTTTTTGGTTCTTGCTTTTTGCCATTCTTTTCTTGTTTTCCCATGGCCTGTGTGTGGGTGTTTGGTGTCTGTATCAATGTACTGCCACTGACCATTGCTGTGTGACCTCATCTGTAAATTGCTGCTCCAAAGACTGGAATTGGGTTTGTTTCAACTGTTCTTTTGTGAAGCCATTTTGTTTATCATTCTTAAGAAATTCTGGAGGACATAGAAAGTTATTAAATAAGAAGGGATCTGTGAAGCTGATGTCTCTCCTTCTGGCTGTGGGGAAAGCCTGGTAGCTGTCATTTGGTTTGGAGGTGCCAAGATGTAAATTTCCCTTTTGATCCAAATAGCCACTTTCCAAGCTGAAAACCTCACCCTGAGAATTATTTAGCAATCCAAATGAATGGCACAGTAAGTTTCCTACATGGAGTTCAAGCCAACTGAACCACTTCTGGGATTTCTTTCTGGCTTTCCCATAACTGCTTAACAGTTAAGAAAAAAGGCATCTAGAAAACTTTCTGATACTCTAGTCTCTCACCTCTTTTTGTTTTGACAAGGTTTTGTTTTGACAAGAAAATCTGCAGGGAATGACTATTCTTTCTTATGGGCCTTTGACAGTTTAGAGAGCTGGGTGCTGGTTCAACAGTACTCTTGTGGTTTGATGGGTTTGAGTGAGTGAAGTGGATATTGGAAACTGTATGCTTATTCAGTTGCTTGGGAAACTATCTGGTGTGAGACTTAGATTTTATTTTAAAGAACTATTTTTGCTGACTTCTTGGTATAAAAGGGTTTGAAAATGAGAACGAAGAATTTGCAACTGCAGCCGATAGAAGTTTTTTGCAGAGATAAATATTTTTGGGGGTTCTCTTTCTTAGGTATCTGCCAGATGAGGTGTGCAAGGCTGCCTATAACTGCACTTGTGGTAGTAAACCAGGGCTGTCTGTTTAACAGTCCTCAGTAATGTCCCTCTGAGTTGGCTGATTCCACTCTGTTATGCCCCTTTTCTTTACCCTACTTATTTCCATTTAAAGGGCATGGGGGACTTCTTATAAACCATGTGAAACAATCTCTGCTTTAGAGCTTGTTTCTCTTATGGCTGTTGGGAGTATTCAGATAGGAAACATAAAGAAAGATTACAATGGTAGTACAGACCCAGACTCTTCCATGCAGTGTATCTTCAAATACTGCTTTAAGTTGTGCCGATACTAGTTAGGCATGTATTTCTTTGGAGCAAAACCAAGTATTTTAATTCTCATGAATAGAAATTTGTGACATAATCACAGATTAATTTAATCTCAGTCTTTAGGGCTGTATTACTATGGTTACAGAAATAGTGGCACTTTAATGTTGTATGAGGAAATGTTGTGTTGCTGTTACTGCTGTGATCCAGTTTGTCACAAACGGATGTGCTGCTTTGCCAGAGTTAACAGAGCACTGTTGTTTCCTGGTACAGGGTTGTTGCTCCTAGGTAGGCTTACTCACCTAACGGAGCAAGCTAGCAAAGAAGAAATAATTACATGGCACACTGTTATTATCATATAACAAATGTTACTAATCATAGCTAATTATGTAATAAAATCAGTGCTGTTAGGGTCCTTTGAACATCATAATAATGCTTATTGACACAAATATTTCAAATGCAATTTAACACAAATTCTTCTCAAGCTGTAGCATTACATATACAGCCATTTAGTTGCCCTCCTTGTTTTGTGTATTCCTGAAAGCTCAGTCCCAAGACTACTTAGAAGGAGGGGGAAGTCACTGTCCTTGTCCCTGTGCTAGAGCCCTGAAGTCTGTGGGGAGTGAGGCTATGAGCAGTCTTTGTCTCTGTTTTGCAGGGCCTGCCCTCAGCCTGAGGTCTGTAGCAGTCCTCCCAAAAGGAGAAAATCCAGCTGTGGATAGCCAGGTATAAGTCAGAGAGGGACAGCTGTAGGCAGCTGGGCTGCTGCAGTGTGGCAGCTGAAAAACCTGACTGGGCCTGAACTTGGAAGCTAAAGGATTGTTTTTTATTTCAGCCCCCTTTAGTATCTAGTTCTTTTTGTGCCTCTTGTGCTGGTTGAAGTTACAACAGAAGGTAGTCAGGGAAAGGGTCATTGTTTTGTGATGTGTTTAGACAGTGTAGAAGACAATGGGGGCCCACACTCTGAGCCATAAATAGTGTTAATTGTCAGCTGCTTCCTAAGACTGTCTGGAACAGGGATGGTTTCTCTTCCTCTCTTCTCCTATTGTTGATTTTTAAATGATGTTTTTCATTTTTGCAAGAGGTTGCCCATTAAAAGATTTAGGACTTAACATATGCAAAATAAAGCCTAAGTGAGTGCGAGGGTGGCATGTTGTAAATCAAGTTTTTGATAATATTTTAAACCTTTCTAATTGTTTAAAGCATTTGTCATTTTACTAACAGGTTATCTTTGTAGATTACAGATTACTGTTGAAATGAGAGCAGTCAGTGGAACATGCTGGAATTTTTAAATAAGTGACTTAAAGAATGTGTGGGGAAACTAATAGGGAGCTGTATGTTAATGCTGACTTCTGGAGCAACAATGACACAGGACAAATTTTCTTTGGCAATAACTTCTCTTTCCAGATTACTTTAATAGTATACACTGTGAGAGGAGACTTTTGAGAAAGTGAAGAGTCTTTGGAACTTAATTTGCAAGTCAGATATATATTGCAAGTACTGCCTCATCCTGTTTTGATTGTATTAGTGGACCTTGTTGAAAACTTCATTGCTTGTGCTTAGTCAAGGCAATCATGTTAGCTTTAGCAGCTGATTTTCAAGGTGACATTTACCTGAGGGGAACAAACTTTGCTTTATTAAGAGGAGAAGTATTTAAGAATAATAATCACATTAGTTATCCAGCATTTAAGCAGGTACAGTCAGTAGCCATGATGATAAATGTTTTAGTGTGATTTTTCTTCTGTGTTCCTCAATTAAAATTAATCCTATGGAAGATAATTTAGAATAGATTGGCAGTTGTTTCTTTTGGTAGTGTGTTTCAGAGATACTGAACTTATATTGTGTATTGACTTGTTTTAGCTACAATGAAGGACAGTAGTTGATTACATGACTTGCCTGTGCAGATAAGCAAAGTTCTTGTTGGAAAACTGTAATGTATTTATGCTAACACCCCAGCAAACACCTAGGAATGGTTAACTATTGACTTCCACCCTGTACTGCTAGAACTTGTCTGAACATTATTTTTCTGTCTTTACACAGTGAATCTCTTCCTGACTGGGAAAATAGAAAGTGCTGTTACCTCATTAGGTAAGACAAACTTTTCTTACCTGTATTTACTGTTCATTTAAACTGTTGCTGTTAATTCCCCATACAAAGAGATGCTCTAATGAGAGAGTAACTTTTGTAATGATGTTCGTTTGACAGACTAATGATGACATCTTAGGAAGTTTAGGACTTTTAAGTCTTCCTGAGCTTTGTCCTGGTGCCAGCCAAGGCCAGAGATTGCTGTCCCCAAGCCAGGAGGGGCTGGGGCTGGAGCTGTGTGGGGACAGTGGTGGGGACAGGACGAAGGTGCTGTGAGAAGGTCGTGCTACCATTTCTGTCCCTTCTGGTCCTGTTCCACGCTGTTGTCATTGGTGTTGCTGCTGTCACTGTTTGTTTTCTTACCTGGTTGCTGCTAAATTGTAAATTGTTACAGTAACAGTAAATTGTTATCTCAACCTGTAATCTCCATTTTGTCTCTCTCACCTGAGGGGGGATGGGGGGACAGGAGTGGCTGCATTTGTCTTATTTTCCAGTTGAGTTTAAACCACAACAAGATTATAGACTGCATCATTGTCATTGTGATAGATAAGAATTGTCAGCTTGAGGCTAAGGTCTAGTGCATGCTGATATGTTTAGGGGAAAACTGTGTTTAGGAAGTGTGCCCTGCAGCATCAAGTCAGGGAGAGTGGCTCATTCCTGAAGAAGTTAAAACAAGAATATTAAAAATGTCTCATGAATGTCAGCTTGGAACTGCAACCAGAATCGCAGCACTTAGTGTAATTTCTTTCTCTCTTGCAGCGCTGTGACTTACTGACATTGTGGGAATATTGCAGTCAGGGTTCTCCTAGTGATAAGGACCCTCTTGTGACTGTCAATTCACCATCATATGTATAGATGTACTTTACTCCCAAAGAGGTTGCAATTTATATTAAAACCAGAAATGGCAAATAAGAGAGATGGGAGGAAACTGGAAGACACAAAAATAATTCTAGGACAGTAGATCGAATAATGTGGGAGCTTGAGTGTTCAAGTCAAAATTAAGGGTTGAAAAGGTTTAAATCAGGAGAAAGTAGTGATTTTATGATTAGGTAACCTGCTTAAATTAAGCTTAGAGGAAGTGTGGATAAACAAGGTGTTGTTTGCAGCAGACTATTTTCCATTCTTTCATTGGAAAAAGTACAGTGTCATTTATGTCCTAATATGTTCTGCCTGGATGGTTCTTTAGTTTTTGATGGAGTTTGGCAGCTGTTTGGTGTATGATATGTGAGTTTACAAACTGTAAATGCAGTAATTACACATTTGCTTACTTAGACTGGTGATACTGCCTCATCCTAAAATACATAGAGCTTCTTCAGTTGGCTCTGCTGCTTTCTAACACTTTTTTTCACTAGCAATAGAGTTGTAACACCCAGCTTTTGTTCCACAAGCATGCTGAAAACCTCAGAGTATTGTTGCCTTCATGTTTTCTTGTCTTCATACAGTTTTGAGTTACCTTGTCCCCCGGTGGTGTAACTGGAGCTGGGACAAAAATGATTATCAAAGGTTATTGCAACAGAGGGATCCATGTATAGCTTCTCTTACCTGTGCTTGCAGAAAGCTAGCTTGGCTGTTGATCAAGCAGCATGAGCTGAGATTTGTCACATCTCTAAGTGCAGCCCTTGGACTGTGCCTTTGCTGGTTCTGATTGGAGCCAGAAGTCAGCTGGAGCCTGAGCAAAACAAAGGGGAGCCTTAAGTCTTCTTCTACCACAGGCATCAGGGATCTGCTTTAAACCATGGGTGCAGGCTCTCCTTGAGGGAGCACTGTGAGAACTTGGGGAGAGTTTCCTGCTGACTCTGAGATGGCTACTTGAGGAAATGTATATTGCCAAGCATTTGGTTTTGAGAGGAGGTTCCTCGTGGCAAGTGCAAAACATCTTTTATCCTGGAGCAGATGGTTGGGATCAGTTCCTTGTGACTGGGACAGGCCCTGGTGCAGAAGAATGTGAAGCTCCAGGATTAATTTTCATCTGGGATTGTTTGAAAATTGATTCCAGCACAGCATAGTACCCTCAGTGCTGTCCTTTTGTGAAGCTCAATGTCTGTTTTATTACAGTTGCTCTTGCAAAAATAAGAGTAACATTATTCATGTAAAGTTTTTGGAAATGTCATTTATGTATTTGTGGCGTATTTAACTGGCAGAGGGAATCTACTGCTATTTACAGTAGAAGAAATCCATTTGATTGTCACAGAAAGCCTCATTAAGATTTATGCCCTCTTGACAGAAACTCTCTGAACTCAAATCTCTTCTGGCATTTGTTTAAAGTTTTATTTTTCTTTGCTTATTTTTTTGTTGTTTAGGGTTTTCTTTTTAACTGTGGAAGATTTATTATGGTCTCTTTATAATTTATCTTTTCTTTAAAAGCACCATCTCAGTAAGATTTTTGGTGGGTTGGTTTGCCAATCCAGGAACTGGTAATTTGATGTTTCTTCAGTATTGCTAAATGTGGGAAATTGAAGCAGTTTGGAGTTTTTAGTGAATTGGGATTTCACTTTTTTCCTAGGTTTGTGCAGAAAGGTTGTGGAAAGACACAGAATTGTTGAAAATATTCTGTCACTGCTATTGTTAAGTGTTGTCACTGATGATAAGGTCTTCAGAATTCAGGACTGTACCTTTCTATTTAGGAACTTCCGTTTCCTTGAGATGCTTTGGCAATTTGAACAGGCTTTTGTTTATTTTCCTTAAGGAATCACAGTGTCATGCTGTACCCAACTTAATAGCACAGTACTTAGGCATGTGTGCAGTTCTGCAAACTTCATGGCCAGGAGCTGAGGAGACAAGTGGGACCCTTTTATTGATATTGAAGCTCCAACAGTATAAAATTCTGCCCTTGTGTGGTTTTACCGTTTTGTTGTCAGCACTGAAGGCTGTGTTTAGTCAAGGTTTTTCTTTCAAGATTTATGTGTGTGAAAAAAGAGCTGTGCTCGGGTACTTCACCTTTTCTGCCTTAGTAGTCAGTGGCAAGGAGTGGAGGGGCAGGTGGCTGCTCTGGGAAGGAGGTTCATTGATGTTTGTAAATCCTATAATAATGAGCATTGGTTGGGAAAAAATAAAAAAGACATCAAAAACACGAGGCAGCTAAGTGAAGCTTGGGTAAACACTATAGTAGTTTTGGGAGATGTGTATATGTGTGTGTGTCTCCAGTTTGCTCCGACAGCTTTAGGGGACCATGGGCATACCATTGTAGCAGTGTAATTAAGTTTTTGGCAATCCTGTCTTGGTGTCATTCACCAAGATACTGTACCCCATAATCATCTGTGCCCAGAAATCGTTCCTGTACCTCTGGGTTCCCTGGCAGGGAGCCGAGTGTGTGTGTCCATGTGTCTATCCACGTCTGTGTTGTGTGTTTGCTGTGCCCGAGCAGCCTCTGTGCCCCGTGGGTCTGCGATAGCGCATGAAGTGAAGCCACAGGGCGGCTCGGTCTCTTCTCCACTGGCCCTCCGGGCAGTCGGAGGTGAGGCACCGAGGGAGAAGCAGTGGAAAGCAGATTCCAGCCCCAGGGTGTGTGTGTGCCGGCCCGCGGGAGCTGGAGGCACCGGGAGGGAAGGCGCAGAGCCGCGGTGCAGAGCGCCGCACAGCGCAGCGCACCCAGCCCAGCTCACCCAG